AGATAAAATATTACTTTTCTGAGAAAATTTGGAAAAACAAACAAACAAACAAACAAACTTCAATTATTGGTTCCAATTTGTAGTCCAATGAGCCAATGGCCTTCATAAGCTGATCTTAGCCCAGCTGGGGCAGATATTAGATAACTCTGAATTTTATTGATACATACACAGCCTCCTGTGGCCTCCAGCCCGAAGAACAGCTAGGAAATAATATTTGAAAAATTAGGATATGTTGATTTCAGATACAAATAGCACCTTGCTCTGTTTTTCTGGTTTGCAAACCGGTGGCAGGGATGGTGATTCATTCAGCCCAGAACAAGGAGAAAGATATAATTTAGAACAGAAATGCCTTTTTTTTTTTTTGAGATGGGGTAATGTGCAAATCAGGCCAGATTCAATCTGCATACACCCATCAATTCACTAAATTGATCCACTTCATTGTGGACATATCAATTCAGATAGAAATTTGCTAAGACCTGGTATAGTTTGGTCATTAAATACACATATAGTATGTGTACATAGAAAAAGTCCAAACAATCCAAATCAATTTAATACTCTTGAGTTGTTTGAATTTAATTTGGGGTATACAATATTTTTACAGGCTTAGTAGCAACTAAGTTTTGGCTTCACACTTGGAAAGTATTTCTGAAGTTTATTTTGCCTCCAAATATATCAGGCTATAAACTGGGCTACTGGCAGTTCTAGTCCCGCCTTAGGCACATCAGCTGGGTGACTTGAAACAATGATTTTCTCTCAGCCCTAGGAAGGAAGTAATGGCAAACCACTTCTGAAAAAAACCTTTCCAAGAAAATCTCCGTGCATCAGACATGATTGAAGAAAAAAAAAACATAGGTGGCAGCTGAAGCCAAAATTTCATTTTCCTACTTTTATTTTATTGTTGTGTATATACGCTGCAAGATTTATTGCCCAAGAATCTTGATTAGTAATTTATTCATTTTGCTTTGGGCAACATTTTTTTTGTACATAAATGCAGGTATTTATTTTATCTGAGGCTTAATTCAGTATCTTTTTTTCTATGCTTTGTTTTTTTTAAAAAAAAAACCCTGTCACAACGTATTTTGCAATTGGTTTTAATAATTTTTACCACTGTAGTGTGCCCCTTTTTGTGTGCCTTGCATTTGTGCTTGTGTTTTATAGGCTTATAATATTTTTGTATGTGCATTTTAAAACAAATAATTCATTTTCTACATAAGGGGCTAATAGACACATATCTTATCCAGGTGCACACATGGATACAGAGACAGACAAACCTAGAATATTAAACACCAACATATAAGCACAGAGTATGAGCAATAAATAGGGTGAACTAGAAATTAAAGTAAATGAGGGCAGATATGAAATTGCTGTCATTACGGAAACTTGGTGGGATGAAACCCACAAATGGAACACACAGCTAGAGGGATTTAAATTATTTAAAAGAAACAGACCAAATAAAAGAGGAGGTAGAGTTGCTCTCTATATAAGAAATAACTACATTTCTACAGAAATAGAGCACATCAATGATGAAAACTGTCTTGAATGCATTTGGGTCAATATAAAAGGGGGGGAAATGACATTGCCATAGGTGTATACTATAGGCCAGTGGTGGCGAACCTTTTAGAGACCGAGTGCCCAAACTCCAACCAAAATCCCACTTATGTATCGCCGGGTGCCGGGTGGGCATGGCTATGGTGAAAATGATAGACTGGGTGGGTGTGGCCATGGTGGGCATGCCAACTTGATGTTGCTCTGGTGGGTGAGACAGTGGGCAGGAGAGCATCTTGCTCAGTGGGTGAGGGGGATGGGGGGAGGCTCCTGAGCCCCGCAGCTCTTCTGAGGGGGGGAGGGGCTGTGCTGGGATTGGGGCTCCTCGTGCCTTTTGCTGCCCACCTGCGCTCTTCTGCTGAAGATGCTGCAGCTCTGCTTGCCTGGCAGGGCAGGGGCATGCTCGCGCATGGGGACGCACATAGGGCTGCTGCCTCACTTTCCGCGCCTGCTTCCACTGAAAGTTGCTCCCTTTATAGCCTCCTGCCTATTCCCAGACTGTGCATGTGTGGAGAGCTACGCATGTGCAGCTCTGCAGAAAGCTACGCATGCGCAGAGAGGAGGAGGGAGCAACTCGGCCCAGCAATGGCTCACGTGCCACCAGAAACGGCTCTGCGTGCCGCCTGTGGCACGCGTGCCATAGGTTCGCCATCACGGCTATAGGCCACCCAACCAAACAGAGGAAATAGATGAACTTTTTGCTAGTCAGTTAAGTAAGGTATGTAGGAATCACATCACAATAGTAATGGGGGACTTTAATTAACCTGACATCAACTGGGAGACAAACTCTGCAGCAAGTGGAAGATCAGATTCCTGACAAACCTAGCAGACAATTTTGTCTCCCAAAAAGTAGAGAACAGAACTAGGGGATCAGCCATATTGGACCTAATTCTCAGTAACAGAGATGAAAATGATAGAAGGTGTTGAAGCCATAGGAACCTTGGGGGGATTGATCATGCAATATTGGAATTCAACATTATGCAAGCACAAGCAATAGAATACAGTCAAACTAGAGTCTTGGACTTTAAGAGAGCTAATTTCAATAAACTTAGAGAGAGCTTGGGAAGGATTCCATGGATGAGAATCCTCAAGGGGAAAACAACTCAAGAAGCTTGGGAAATTTTGAAAAGTGAGATTATAAAAGCCTAGTCTAGCACAATACCAACAAAGAAGAAAAATAACAGCTCTCAAAAGAAGCCAGCATGGCTGCATAAAGAACTCCCTGATAAATTGAAAAGTGGAAATAGGGGCACATAACTAAGGCAGAATACCAGCAAATATCCAGAGCCTGCAAAGATGAAGTGAGGAAAGCTAAGGATCAAAATGAACTAAGACTTGCAACAAAAGTCAAAAATAATAAAAAAAAAGCTTCTTTCATCATGTAAAAAACAAGAAAAAAGTTAAGAAAATAATTGGTCCATTAGTGGGAGAAAGTGGCAAGAAGGTGACAAGCAACAGGGAGAAAGCAGAACTACTTAACTTGTTTTTTGCATCCATCTTTACCCAAAGGCAAAAAACAGCCCAACCTATCAAAAATAGTACCATAAAAAACAGATTAGAAACACAAGTTAAGATAGGCAAGAAAATGGTAAGTGAGCACCTGTCCACCCTAGATGAGTTCAAATCATCAGGACCAGATGGATTACACCCCAAGGTTCTTAAGGAACTGGCAGATGTGATCTCAGAACAACTGAACTATATTTTCCAAAGATCCTGGAGCACCGGGGAACTACCAGAGGACTGGAAAAGAGCTGATGTAGTTCCCATCTTCAAAAAAGGGGAAAAATGTCTAGCTAGATTACACAAAACTGTGATTGGGTCATTTGTGATCCAGTGTATCGTGGGAAACCAATCATTATTTCAACATTTTATATAAGCCAGGCCATAATATTAAGCCCTGCTATGGTTTATAATATGGAACACAACACATTATATTTTGTGATTGAGTTTTCTAACCAGAATTTAAGTTTTATTGTTATTTGAATCAGCTGTCTTGAATAATAGGACTTTCAAGACATTGAAAAGGAGAACTTCCCAAGCGCATTGAAAGAAATGACTAAAGGTTCTTCTTGAAAGATCAAAGTCTTTGTATCTTCTGGAAAGCTTGGTTTGGCTGCTTTAACAGCAGTGAGCATTATGCACGGTCATAGACAATAGTTGTGCTGGGATTGCCAGCAAAGCAGTTGTGCCTGGATGGGCATATGCAGACAACTGGGGCAAGCCTTTGAAGCAGGTGTGTTGATCTTAGGAGAACTCAATCCTTTCAATGTTTCAAGGAGATGTAATGCTCATGGACCAATGAATTTTGCAAAGAGTTTTTTCAACTGTTTGCACAGCCCTAGTAAGCAGAACTTCCTTTTCCCCAATATGCACTTCATTGTGGCTCCTCCCAGTGCCATTGTGGTAAACTCATTTTTGTTTATATTTCACTCCCAAATTCTCCACCAGGCACCTCTAGATATAGGCATACCACTAGGCAATGATCTCTATTTGGATATGTCTGGAAGAATACTGTAGGGCCCTTTGCTAGAGAGTCTTTAGGGTGTGTGACAAGTTGCCATGATTGATTGCTTATTGCAATCAAATCAGTGTTGATTCTTAAGAACTGCATTAGTTGATTTTTGTCCATGATGATCATGCCATTAGTTGTTGATATTTTTTATATATATTAGCTATCAGTTAGTTGTTATTTTTGTTGTTCGCTGTATGATCCAGATCCTTTGAGGAAATTATAATTGTATATAACATGTTTTTGTAAGTCACTGTGCAGTGTGAAGATTTGACAGCATACAACAACATATTAATAACAATAATAATGATTCATCCTCTTGCTTGTTTCCATCAACTTTCTGTACTGTGTCGAGTGTGATAGATAAGTTGGGGTGGGTGGGTGTCTGCATCACTTATTTGTAAACATCTAGAGTGGGAATTGGTGAACCTTGGCTTAGGCTGATAAGTGTAGAGTCTCTTTAAAATCCAAAATGAGAAATGTTGTTCTGGTAGACTACACCATTCTCAGTTAAATGAGTTTATAAAGATCTAGTTTGGAAAAAAGTTATACTTATCATTTTAACTTGACAGCTCGGTGATAGTCTGTCATTTCAATAATAATTGAAATGCAGAGTGGCATCTTGCAATTCCCCAGCACCTTTCAGCATTGTCTCAAAATCCCCCATCACCATGGAGTTTTCTGTGTGCTCCATACATTTCAGAAGATAGACTATTTGTATTTACTTAAGTCTCTGGGCCATAGTTTAAGTTATTTAAAATGTACGAACTGCCTTTTGGGCTCCCACAAAGATGCTTCCCTAGATTAAGATGGCAAATAAAGATAAGCTTTACGAAAGGGATCATTAAAAACAATAACACCACACGAAAGAATTTGAGAGCTTTAAAAAAAAATCTGATGTATTAAAAGCTTCTGGCTAACCTTGAATTTAATTTCATTTTTTTAGCATGTTCATGTCCATGTACTTCCAAGAAAGCCAGGGGATTTTGACAGAAATGACAACATCTACGATGAGGTAAGACTGAGCTGAAGAGCTGAACCTTTTCTTTTAACCCGAGTATTTAGATTTAACCCATGCACACAAACAAATCATCCACTAACCTGAAACCATGCCAATTTGCCGCTGTCTATAATCTGAAAACTGTATCTTCAAAGAGAGAGTTTCAAATAACTGGTTCACAAAGGCATTAATTCAATTTTGTCACATTATGTAACAGAATTAAGATAAATACTTTATCTGAGCAACTGTCATTCCAGGACTGCTTCACACTTCGGGGCTGATCCAACTGGTTGGTAACTTTTAGTAGCAATCTTATGGAATTTGTAGCATGTTCTAGAATGGCCAAAAATTGGAGTCAATTTGTTTTTGTTTTTTTAAAAGGAATGCTCTATGAAACAACTTGTGGTCACACGTCCTGAACTGATAACCTTTCTTCACTATGATGCAGTGACTGTTGTTGACAGTTGTGTCCATAATGGGATCAGAACCTCAGAGTATCATAGCTATTAGGCATTTCAGATGGCAGATATTGGGAGTTAAAGTAACATGATTTGTACTGTTCTTCCCAGAACATATTAGCATCCACCCACAGGTGGAGGATAGAGTTATATACTATATGCCATTTAGACTGTTTTGGCCCACTAACAGACTTGTATCATGAAGTGGAGGACACTATTCTTTTCCTATGTTGAACTAGTATCTAACTAACTAAGAGTCAACAGTCACCAATAGAAGAGAATATTTGTAGCTCAGGGTAGAACTGTGGGATCCTTGGTGCTCTCTGAGCTTGGTTGGTTTTTTTGCAGATGTTTCATTACCCCACTAGGTAACATCATCAGTGCTAGAAGGAAGTGGAATTTGCTTTCTGTTGATGTACAAATGGCTTGCCCTATCAATGTTGGTGGGAGTGTTTTTGGTGCTTCCTAGATCAGGCTGTTGATGATTATTTCATTGTTTGCCTGAGCTGGCAGTTCCTTGATTGGGGTATTGCTTACAATATGACCAATCTACCAATCACATGCCCTGAACAATAACCCACTCAAGGAACAATCAACAAAAATAAATGATCAAATAATATACAACAAACTAATCAAGAAACCATCAATACCATCTCCACCAACACTTACAGGGCAAGTCACCTGTATATTAAGAGCCGGGGTCTTCAAACTTGACCCTTTTATGACTTGTGGACTTCAACTCCCAGAATTCCTCAGCCAGGCATGCTGGCTGAGGAATTCTGGGAGTTGAAGTTCATAAGTCATAAAAGGGCCAAGTTTGAAGACTCCTGATTAAGAGTGACCAAATCTCACTCCCTTCTAATACTGATGATGTTACTAGTTGGGTAATGAAATGTCTGCAAGAAAACAACCAAGCTCAGAGAGCACCAAGGATCCCACAGTCAGTGCAATGGAATATGAGGGTATGGCAACAAAACTTGGGCTATTCCTACTGCACCTCAAATTTTATAGCTCTTGGTCTAGCAATTGAAAGAATTAGTGGGGGTTCACCCATGAGATCAACACTGGTCTGCTGATATCAACGCAGATGGTGGAAAACAACAGAATAATGGATTGCTATGCTTTAGCAGCCAAAGTGGCATCAAAGAAGGGCCAGTGCAAATCTTTAGTGTAACATGATTAGTATTGCCGAGCCTTTCTGTCTTATGCATGGAAGAAAAGCTTATCCTTTCCTAAGGATGAATTATTCAGTGTAAAACTTTTAAACCGACAATGATATTCAGCAGGCGATGTCCTCTTCTTTCCCTCTGACATTCAGAGACACAGCAAGAAAATCACTTAGGAAAAGATATTTTGACTTAGCAATCTCATTCAGTGCATTATGCTAAATCATTTTGGCGGCACAGGAATACCTATTAGGAATCATTTTCAATTTTGGAAGTGCCTCAGCATAAGAGTTAGCAGCTTTGGATTTCCATTTTAGTCAAGCAGAAGTGGCAAAGGAAAGAGATGTAAGTTGATTCCCAAACACATTATAAAAGAGTCTGAATTTTTGACTTTATACAAGCTCTTCTTAAGCTAACTTTCTTTAGAAACAGGAATGAGAAAGATAAAGACCAGGCAGGCAAATTCTACCTTTTTAATCTCCAAAGAGTTTCTTAAAAATGACTTTCCAGTTACTAGTGAGTGAATTTTGCTTTTATCGATCACTTATTTTGTTGAACCATCAATGCTGTAACTATTGAACTATTTCTGAAGAGACTTAAAAGATATTCCTAAAAAAATGATCCATAAGTCATTTCTACAAAATGTTATCTCAAATAATGTTCTGCAACAGGTACTGTTTTCTGAAATATAACCTTTATCCATACATCAAGATTCTGGAGGAAATTTTCCAAAACCAACCTGGAAACAAAAATTAGGGCTACCAATCAAGGCTGAAAAAGACCTGAAAGATGTCATTGTTATAGTCAATGATTGAAGCCCACATCAGATAGCACTAAATATATTCCCTTGTTAAGTGGCCTAGACAGGTTCTGTTCCCTGTATTCAAATGATATGCCTCTTGTGCACCATTCTACCCATTGAAGAGTCTACTTTTCCAATTCAAGATCACAGTATCCAAGAAGGAGACGGATGCTATGGAGGTTTCCATCCTGCTTCTTCCTTATTGGATGGCATTATGAGCTAAGGTGCTGGAGGGAACAATATTCTGAAAAAATTAAGGCACTCCAGTATTCTGAGAGCGAGTACTGTGGAGGAGGAGGAGGAGGAGGAGGAGGAGGAGGAGGAGGAGGAGGAGGAGGTGGTGGTGGTGGCTATCCCCACCTCATTGACAGTAGCTTTCCTTCTTGTTTAGTTATGGTGTGAATTCACTGTGTGGAAACATCATGACTGCTAGAAGGGAATGCGTTTTTCTCTCTGTTTATGTACTAGTGGCTTGCCCTGTCGGTGTTGGTGGGAGCGTTTTGGGTACTTCCTTGATTAGGCTGTTGTGTATTGTTAGCTTGTTTGTCTGAGCTGGTAATTCCTTGATTAGGGTATTGTATACTGCTTGATTATTGGTCTAGTATAAATCTTGGTGTTAATCTCTTCTTATCTAATGCTGATTACTGGCAAGAAGGTGTTGTGGTCTTTTAGCTTTTGGATTCTCTCTTTTTTGAATGGCATGTAGATGTTGTTTATTTCTATGTGCCTGTTGATAGCTGGCTACTCTGAGTGCCAGGCTTCTAAGAATTCTCTAGAGATTTTGGACTTAAGTTGGTCACCTTTCCCAGCGTTGCAGATAAAATTGTTATGCTGGCTTTAGCAGTGGTATGTTTCTTTGCTAGCTATTTGCTTTCAAATCTAGGTTTCAATATACTGATTCCTTTCATCACTGCTCTCAAACCTGGTAATGCATTTTTTTTTTTTAAAAAAAAAAATTACCATTGATGGTTCTCCAGTCATTTAGTGTCCTAATCCTTTCTGGTTTTCCTCTTTGCCAAAAATCTTCCTTTTGTTTTTAAAGTCAGTAGCTCTGCCTCAGCTCTTCTTGAGTTTTTCTGATATATTGCCTACAATATATATCCTTCAAAACAGCCCTGGAAGAAGAGGAAGTAAATTCATAATGAATACAATAAATAATGAGAGTCATGCAGAAGATCAGGTTAGATTTCCCCCCTTTGACCTATATAAAATCCCTCAAAAATGTATCTGAAAAAACAGAGTTAAAGACCTGGTATTTGCCTATATTTTATTCTCATATATACCGGTATTCTATGACACTAAATGCAAAATAATCAGAGAAATATCTACCTGTTCAGTTCTAAGTATTACATTTCAAATAAGATGAATGTTTAATCAGACTATTCCTACACTCTAACTATATATTGTTTTCTAATAGCTGTATAGACATGAGTGGACTTGGCTGAGGTCTATACAGGTTTCTTAAAATGGCCCTAAGATTTAATTCTTATTATTAATCTTTCTCTGAAAACTTTTCTTTTTCTTATTTTTTTCTTTAAACACAAATTCAATTACAAATTAATTATGTGCTTCAAAGTGTTATATAGAGATTACCTTAAAAACCAAGGTCATATTTAGAAATCTACTTCTATGGGAGTAAACATATACACAAAGATTACTTGTGCTGGAATAAATAAATCTTTTTTCCAAATGTGTATACGTTCTGATCTTATTTCACAGTACTTCTGGGGTGACTTGATTTATTTGGGATCTTACTCATTTGATTAATTTTGCCATCTTCATAATGTTAATTTTTAGGGATGTTTCACCTTACTATAATTTTTATTTTCTCATCTTCTGTAAAAACAACCACAGCAACAGCAGCAACAAAAGATAACTATCTGGTCTTAGTTCTTACTCTCCTAATATGTTAACATTATTCCTTTCCAGTGCCTATGGATTATCTAGACAGTTTCCAATAATAATTTACATGTTTGTGTAGTTGTGCTTCCTATCCAGGGATATTGCCGTACAAAGACCTTATTAAAATTTCACTTCTTCTCTTCTCTAAACCATGCATGACTGTTACTAGACACACACACATATTTATTCATAGATACTTATTCATGCAGCCTCCTTCTCTTCAAACAAACTATCATGCAGATAGTTTGTTTGAAGAGAAGCAAAATCCTTAGATCAAAACAGGATTCGAAATCTTATCTGCTTTTCCAGTCTACTCTCAAATTATGCATTCTGCCTGAAAGTGAAAATGGAGTCAGCTGGAAATATGTTTTTTCATGAGATTCTTTGTGAGTTCCTCCCAGTTCTAAACTGTAAATATGGTGAGATTATCTTTACAGGCAGTGCCATAATAGATAAAGTCAGTGGTGGGATTCAGCCGGTTCGCACCAGTTCGGCAGAACCGGTAGCTAATTTTTTGTTGCCCAGGCCCAGAATGGACTTCCGGAAGCAGCATCCACACAGAGAACCGGTTGTTCACATATTTGAATCCCACCACTGGATAAAGTCCTAAGTGATTCATATCGTGCCACACTGTAAGTTGCTGGTGGTGCAGCTGTAATCAGCAAAGTTTAATGCTTTGCTTGAGAT